GTGACGTTGTAAGAAGGGCTGGGATGCCACTGGCCTTTAGGAGTGGTTGGAACCAGGATTTTCTTTCTCTGTCTTTTGTATTTGCTTTTTTCCCCCACATTAGCTCCCTTTTCATTCACAGCACACAGAAAGTCGCCTTGGTGCAGAAAACCTGCCTGGGTTTTATACCTTGCAACTTCAGCTAATGGGGAAAAACTGACTCCGTTCTCTGCTGCCCAGGTCCCAAACTCCCTGGGTAGAGAACCTTTGGGTCAAGCATCCCTTTGGACCAATCAGCTGACCTGGAGTGCAGTGGGCAGAGTCACAAGACCCAAACTAGGTGACACATCCTGGCAAAACCATGTATAGACACTGCTCTGAGGTTTAGCAGGTCTTCGCTAACTTCACCCTCGTAGCACAATCCTATCAAAGCTACGATTATCTGTGCTTTGAAGTGAGACTTGAAAATGGAGGCACAGAGCTGAAGTGACTTGCCCAGGGTCACACAGCTAGAAAGAGGTACAGCCAGGGTTCACACTGAGACTGTTCGGGTCTGCAGCCCACTCTTGATGATCATACTACTCTCCCTGTCTCATTGAATTTCTGGGGGAATCCAGTGGATGGAGCGGTGGGCAGGATGGCGGCCCTCCACGGAAGAAATTGGAATGCTAACCCAGAATGAGAAGCCTCCGGGAGCCCATCATCCCACCGCCTTCCAGATGTCTGTCATTAGGAAAAGGCAGTGGAAGGGCCTGGTGACCTCTGATAATGAATCTGAACATGGTGGGTGGGTATTACCAGGAAGTAGGTCTCAATTCAGTGGAAGGAGTTTCTTCAGAGTCAAGGAAGGAGGTGAATGCCCTAGGTTACACAGAACAGTGTGCTGAGCTGGGGCTGACGCTTACAGCCGAAGAAGTGCTCGGGCTTTGCCGTTAACCACAGGGCCCTGTCATCATTTCCTTCTCAAAACGTAGAAAGGAATACTGGTGGGGGTGGGGCAGTGAGAAACAGAAACGGGGCCCTATCTCTCCGCCCATATCTTGCAAGAGACCCGCTGATTCCCAGTCGATGGAGTTGTTGATCGTGTCTTGTCTTACAGGTGGGCCCTGTTTCCTTCCCTGGTGTGTACATTCCCTGGGGGAAGAGTGATGTGCTCCCTGAATGTCCAGCTTAGCTGTGGCCTGGCTATGTCTGCAGGATGTGGGGTGGGGATTCCCTGAGGCCTGATTCCTTCCCATCCCCTCAACCGCCATCGGCTTCCTGTGGATGAGACAGCATGACTTTTGCTTGGCCTGGAAGCCAGCCTGGGAAGGAATTTCGAGGGCATATCTGGATTCCATCTTTCTATGGACAACTTTCTCTTTTGGAGGGGCTCAAGGGATTCAGAGATTGCCATCACACATTAGCTCTTGGTCTCTCGACTCACATTAGAAATGGTCTATGGGAAGAGATGTTCATGTGCTTAACAGCAGTCATGTGGTTATAACAGATGAGAAGGCCCAACAGGGCTGGGTCAGTTACCAGGCCTCTAGCAAATGAGTTAAGATTACACATCCTGTCTCACTTGTCTCTTACCAGCTAGGTGGTCAGCACACACAGGTGCCTAGTGGCTGTGGGTTATTGTGCTTTCCGATTTCCCTCTTCAGTGCCTGGCACAACCTCCTGGGTAGCATGGCCATTTTCTGAGCTGTGTTTGGGAACATGCCACTCACCCCGCTCCAGAAAGGGCTCAGCAGAGGGTATTTCTGCCATCTGCTCTTAAACCTCAGATACTTGCACATCACTTTGAAAATCTCCCCTTTGCCTTGGAGCAGTGGATCTGACTTGCCGTAGTTACTAGGTCACTGTGAGGATAAGCAGGTTCTGAGGGAGTGCTCAGTCTCTTGCTCTGTGATAGTTATTTTCATTTTGACATTTTCTCTTTCTTTTTTTTTTTTTTTTGTACTTCTTTGGAACAAAGATTTACTGAGTAAACATAATATTTGGAAAAATATAGACTTCAGTAATAGGTTTTAAACAGCATTGTCATTGATTTTGTTTTTTTTGTAATGAACATTTGGCATTTGGATAGCTTTCATTACCTTGCTCTTAAATGACCCCCTTCCCTATTTTTGGAGACAAAAATATGTAGCTCAGTATATAGCTCATTCTAGCCTTGAACTGGCTGTGTAGCCCAGGAGGCCTCAGCTGTTCATTCTTCCTACCTTCACCTCACGAAAGCTGGGATTACAGGTGTGCACTACCACCCCTGGCTTACATGTAGCTATCACAGTGGCCCAGTTTTATGGTCCTCTTTTCTTAAAACATTATATACATTTTGCTGAGTTACTAACTAGAATGAAAATTTTTAGCAAATTTGGACTTTCTGTTATGTGAATGCCCCATAACTTATTTGATCCTTTCCTGTATCTTGTGAATTATCTATTTACATCAAAAATTTTCCCCTTCGGGATTGAAATTGTTTAAAAACAATTAGAGATTTTAGAACTGTCTCTTTGGAACAGCTTCCAAAATCCTATTTTCTTTACATAGTCTATCATGTTCTAAAAATTGCTTCTTTACTGGCTTATACGTATACTCAGGTGTGATGCTTACTCATTTATTACATTTTTTCCAATTTTTTTTTCTTCTTGGTTTTGGGATGATGTGTAAATTACAATTAATTGGATATTTCTTGACCTTTCTTTGATAGATATGATCGATTGCTAGAGACGTGTTCTATTGCCCTTGTGGGGAAATACACCAAATTCTCAGATTCATATGCCTCAGTCATTAAAGCTCTGGAGCATTCTGCATTGGCGATCAACCACAAATTGGAAATTAAGGTAAGCAGGGATAACAGATGTAGCCAAGGGGTTAATAGGGATATAGTCTGTTTTCCTGTAGATAAACTGGGCTTTAAAACCAAAATTATCAGAAATGCAACACTGATAATATTATTTAAATTCGTGGAAGTGCAGTGGGAGTCACTAACTGTCTCTTTTCTACCCTGTGCCTAGTACATAGATTCCACAGATCTGGAGCCAAGCACCATGCAGGAGGAGCCCGTGCGCTACCATGAGGCCTGGCAAAAGCTCTGTAGTGCTCAGTAAGTAGTGTTTGCTGACTGTGGCGAGTGGTTTCACTTGTGTTAATGAACCCAGTCCTACACTTCCAGGGCAAATAGTAGGTCATCTACTTGTTAAAATGGTTCTTTTTTTTTTTTTTTCTTTTAGTTATTGAAGAGACTACCTATTATGTGATTTAAGCTTCTCAGAAAGTATTGCTTACTAATATAGTTGGATCTAAAGAAAACCAGTTCTGATTTTATTAGTACTGTGTGCAATTCATCATTAGGTTTATTTAAAGAGTTTTCATCCAGGACATTTGATAATTAGCCATCAGTAGAGTCTCAAACTGTTTGGGCAGCCTGCGGGGTGCCCCGCCATCTTTTCTTCTTTCCTTCCCTTTTTCTTTCATAGTGAACTCAGAGCTTCCTGAATGCGGGAATGCTAGGCACTCTCACTACTGAGCCATATCCCCAGTCTTAACAGCTTTTTTTTTTTTTTTGAGACAGGGTCTCACCATATAGTTGAGACTGGCCTGGAACTCACTGTGTAGCCCAGGCTGGTCTCCAACTCACAGCAATCCTCCTGCCTCAGCCTCCTGAGTGCTGGGATTACAGGCATGCGCCACCACACCTGGCGACAGCTATTATTTTTAATAGTAAAAACTTAGCAAGAATTCAAAGTTCACTAGAGCAGTTGATAGTTTGGTCTGTACAGCTGCTGTTGAAAGCTTGGTCCGTGTGGCTCACTGCTGAGGAGGAAAGCCCTCCCCTAACTCAGGAGCACTGTAAGTCAAGAAGAAATGAAAAGCAAATTGGGTCTATATCAATATGTATTAAAAATTATACCAAAGTACTTGAGATGAGTGCAGCAGCATCATTACAGTGTTGCACCCTATCTCTTTCCCATTCATTTTTTTGTGTGACTAAGTCCACAGTTTTGTTTCCAGTTTCTAAGTTTAAATATACACTCATTGATTCCTTTAAATAGCAGTCTTAGGCCCAGTAGCAAAACAGATGGGGTAACTTCATGCCGTCAAGAGTCTTGGCAGTGGCTTCTTTGGTGGGTACTGCAAGCTGGGCTGATAGAAAAGGGTGTTACCTTATGGTTTGTTCTCCTGTGCAGTGGAGTATTGGTTCCAGGAGGGTTTGGTGTTCGAGGAACCGAAGGAAAAATCCAAGCAATTTCCTGGGCGCGGAAACAGAAAAAGCCTTTTCTGGGTAAGGAACTATGCTGTGCCTTCTTCATTCTGAGTAGGAAAGAGAAAGAAAATGTGCCAGGATGGAATGGAGGCTATAAATAAGGCAGGGTTATTTGGAAACAGGACATACATATCGAATGTCTAGATAGCAGATCAAGTGCAGGCCTTTGTGGTTCTCTTTGGTAGAAATTTAAGTTTTTTTTTTTCATATAGAAGTTTATAAGTTACATGTAGATGCCATGGGATTTTAAGAGTGGATTATCCACTAGGAAATTCTGTTTGTATGCATGTGAAATTTTAATGTCTCAATTTGTCATACCAGCTGACTTTAAATGGGCAAAGGGATTTTGGATGCTTTCTGGTGCTGTACATTATAGTAATTTTTTTTTTCATTTTAGTAATTTTTAACTTGATCATTTGTGAATGAGAACTTAATGAGAGATGATAGTAAGGAAATTTGAATTTTAAAGTACCAAGTAGAATATTGCTTATTTCTCAGTTGTTAACTTTCCAGAACCTAGAATCATGAACACTTAGATGTCGTTTTTTTGTTTCTTTGTTTCTTTGTTTGCTTGTTTTTTAATTGAATACAGATGAAGTATAACAGCGAACAGTGGTTGCTTATAGCAGGAAAGAGTTTATGACTAGGGCTCTGACCATGCAAAGCAGGGTCTTTGCTGGGCAGGGGGAGATGTGAGAGCTGCAGTCTCAGTGGAGTTTCATTTTTTTCCTTCCCCTGGAAGGTGTGTGCTTAGGAATGCAGTTGGCAGTGGTTGAATTTTCAAGACATGTGCTGGGATGGCAAGGTAAGTGCATTTTAAGACTCAGATTCCACAGGACCATTGCCTGGAGTGCATGCTGGCCTTGTTGCGTGGTGGGTGATGGGGAGCTGTCAGGATGCCTGCTGCCTGGTGCACCAGGAGGTGCAGTCCTGGCCTCCACCTGACATGTCCTGTTCTTGGGATTCTTTCTTTGGCCACCAGAACCACCATTCAGTGTGTGTCCAGAAGAAGACACCAGCCTAAATGAGACCAGTGCAGTTTGTTTTGTTTTTGGTACTGGGGATCGAACTCAGGTCCTTGTGCTTGCGAGGCAGGCGGCAGAACCACTAAGCTAAATCCCCAGCAGTAGAGTTTTTATAAACCTGGGCTCTAGAACTGTCTGTTCTAAATTATTACTTATTAAGGGTGACTTCAGGCAACTTTCTTAGACTCTGTGGACCTCTGTTTCTTCTGTACAATAGGATTCAAAATGGTGCCCGCTTCACATAGTTGTAAAAATTAGGTAAAGTAGCCAGATGTAGTGATGCACACCTGTAATTTCAGCTACTTGGAAGGCAGAAGCAGGAAGATTACAAGTTCAAGGCCAGCAGGGACCCTGCTTCAGAATAAAAGGATGGGGATGTAGCTCAGGACGGCCTAGGTTTAATCTCTACTTCTTTTTTTTTTTTTCCTTTATTGAGTTTATTGGTACATTTTAGGTATACAGTACAGTTACATTTATCACTGGGATCTTGTACCTTTGCATGACAGGTCTTGGTTCTCATTTTTTCCCCTTGTCCCTGCCCTCCTTTCACCCGCTCCTAATCTCTAATTCTTTAAAGAAAAAAAAAAAAAGCAAAATAAGTCCCTAGCAACCTGGCAAGTAGGAAATGCTTGATATCAGGTTTGTTTACTATTAACTAATTATCACAATCACCCCCAAACCCAGTGGTTTTAACATCCTTGACTTGTCACCTCTCAGTATCCTGTGGATGACTCCGCTGGGTGGTTTTCTGCTCGTTACAGTGTTTCTGAGGTCCCTCAATCATGCCTGGCTTTCCTTGGTACGCTCAGCCCAGCAGGGACCTTGAGATGCTGGCTCCACGTGGTGGCTTTAGTAATGGTGCCCAGGATTCTTCACACCTGGTGGCAGCTGACTTCCCAAACAGTAGGCTCACTGCACAAGCACTTTCCAGACTTGCCATTGTCTTGTTGGCCAAAGTGAGTCACAAGGTGAAGTCCAGTTGAGGAGGGGACTGCAGGGCATGGATACTGGCATGTGGCTCATGGGGCCACAGTTGAATAATCTGCCATGGCCGTTTGTTCCCTTAACCCAGCTGACAGTATTAAATTTTCAGAAAGACCGATAAACAAAGCTGTCTAAAGGAATGAAAAGCAGTCTTAGCACACAGTGCAAGTGATTCTTTCATGGCCAGCTTGTGGCTGGGGCTGGGTTTCGGTTCACCTTCTGAGAGACAATGGCTCAGCTTGGTGGGCAGTGAGCCTCTAGTTCTAGCTTCTGTCCTGGTGGGGTCTCTCTTCCCCTACCACCACAGAACTGGCTTTCAGGGCTCCCTGGACCTTTGGGCACCCCGACCCTGCTCTCATTCAGGTTCCCATATGAGTGGTGACTTGGTGACGAGCTCACTTTGTGGCTGAAGCCTGGGTTGAGTCCAGGAGGGAAGTAATACCTAACACAGAAAGAACCGACATATAGTACCAGGAACTTGGTCCTTTTCCTTTAGTCTACAGTGGTGTTGCTTATGGTTAGGCAGTAAATTCAGTAAAGGATGGAAAAGTTATTGGTGTTGAAATCAGTTAATTTCTGGTGTAGCATTTGAGCTTGGCAGTTGAGTAAGGCAGTACATCAGGTCCTGAGGATGAAAGAAGGAGATACAATTCTCACTTGTCTAGAGAGTTAGTCTGTAACAAGATGCAAGAAAATGAAGATAACAATATAAGAATTATTGGTCATAAAGATATTACCTAAATACAGATTTTTAGGTTATGCCATTGGTTTTGACCTCTATTTTGTACAGCTTGGTTTCTCAGAAAGTTAAAAAACTCATCCGTGTCTGTGTGTTGTTTTTAAGTCTCAAATATACTGTCCCAAAGGGCTGGGATTTAGCTCAGTGGTGCTGTCACCTGCCCTATAAGTGCAAGGTCCCGAGTTCGATCCCTGGCATACACACACACAAAATGTGTGTGTATGTATAAAATACGGTCCCTAGTTTGTTCTAATCATTGATTTTAAATTGAGGGAGGTGATGGTGATTTAGTTTAGTGCTTAGCAATTAAACTATTAATTGATTTTGTTTTTAACATTTTTCATAACTCAAGTATTTTAACTTTTCAGATGCCAATTCTACAGAGTTTGACCCTAAGACCAGTCATCCCGTGGTGAGTCAAGAGTTTGGATCTCTCTGGGCTTAGAAAGTGTTGGAAGGGGCTCATGATGCACTGGATGGAAGAGGCAGGCTGTAAGAGCCTCTCAAGGTCTTGTGCTCTCAGATCTGATAGAGAGAAGGAATTTGTACTACATAATTCTTCATGTTTCCAGTTTACCAGAGTCTTTAAGACAGGAATCAGCCCAGACACCTTGAGGGGATTCCTGATTAAAATAATTCTCCATGCCTGCTCCTCTTGGCTCCCAGAGCACTTTATTAAATAATACTGGTATGAAACACTGACGTAGGCATTTGTCACTCACCAGCCACTGTTGTCACCGTGTTGTTAATTCACATTTTCCCTAGCAGCTGTCCTGATAGGGACAGCATGTGTTTAAAGAACTGCTGTGGTGTGGTACTGATTTGTGTCACAGTAACTGAAGCCTTCCCAGGTCGACATACCTGGTGGTTACATCCAATAGCAGGAGTGTGAGGCACGGTCAGCCTGCTTTGTTACTAAGGCTCGTTGAGGAAGCACCGTGCCTTTACTCTTCTTTGAATCTGTACCCCAGGAGTGACAAGCATGTTAAAAGGCATTTTTTTTTCTCCAGCATTCAACAAATGTTGAGTACATACGTTGTAATCACTGAGGACACTGATAAATGAGACAGGAAAGGTTCTTGATTTCTTGGAATCCATATATGTTTGTTGACCTGCATTTGAACTTCACTAATATGAAGGCCTCATAAGAGGAAGAACAGAGACTGTGAAAGGTGGACCTTGAGGTAGGGGAGTAGGGCACAGAGAAGGCTCTGGGGTCAGAAGGTGTTCAGGAGCAGTGGACCGAGAGGCGACCTGGACTGTCCCCTCTGAGTGCCACAGCCCACCCATTCGTAGACACATGGGGAGACACACGTCACAATGGCTGGTCTCCATAGTATCCATGCTACAGCACTAGTCGTGCTTCGAATGCACAAAAGCCTGATGGCCTGTGTGATCACCAGTGCTGGAAGCAGGAACAGCATCACCAGGACAGGCTGAAAGACTGAACCTCTGCCCTGGAGGGTAAAAATGATTAATTGGCAGACAGCTTCCCAGTGATGGCATCTCTTACAGGAAAAGCTGGAGAGGTAGGGTCTGCTTGTTCACAGGCAGGCACCATTTGGTGAAGGGGGTCTTGCTTCTAATGGGAGCAGTGTTTGGTAGACTGTGTTTGTTTTCTGAACATCTCCAGGTCATAGAGATGCCAGAACACAACCCTGGGCAGATGGGCGGAACCATGAGGCTGGGCAAACGGAGAACCCTGTTCCAGACCAAGAACTCGGTTATGAGTAAGAGCTGTCTTGGGCTTGGCTGTCTAGGACACATGTCTTTGGGTGGTGCTGTGGCTCGAAAGAACCAGGCTGGTTTCTTTGTTTTGTTTTGTTCTGTTCTTGCTTTTGAGGTTCTTTTTTTTCCCTTCCTGTTCACACTCTTCGGGTGCACCTTAATAGCTAGAGCAGCGGTATGGGTCTTCGGGAGGTCACTGGAGATGCAGTCAGGGCTCTGGGCTGTGGATACCTCCCGGACTAAGGCAGTTACATTAGATCTATTGCAGTCTCTTCCTTTGCTAATATTGTTAAGTTGAACTGTATGAAATCTCATGATTTTTGTCGCACAAAAATTGCAGGTTTGTATGGTTTAACCTAAACAGAATTTTGTTCTAAGAGTTACATATAGATGCTAAAGATTTAGGAAAATTATAGGAGAAAAACATTTAGAAATTTATTTTATGAGACAGGTTTTTTTTCCTCGCTCATTGGGAACATTCCAACTTTTAATTGACAGAAATGCCCTTGTGTCTGTCTGTGGGTTCCATGGCAGTGTAGTTTGAGTTTGATCTTCACACCCTTCCAATGCTGTGATGTTTTATAGATTTGGAGGTCTCCTTAGGCGTCTGAAGGAGAATGGGTGATGCAGCCTCTTTGCACGTCAGCTCCTGTTCACCCGCAGCCACCAGGTGCTGACAGCGTTTGACAGCTGTAATGTGACCTGCGTGACTGCAGAGGTCATCTGTGTGTCTCTGAGTCGTCCCCTGGCCCATGTGTTCTCATGGTTTGAAAAGTCCCAGTCTGTTCCCAGACTTGCTCTCAGCTGCAGAGTGGGAACACGCCTGTGTCCCGTGGAGGTGGTAAACGCCTGTTTCTGTTGTGTTCCTCCTTAGAATTGTCAGAGACAGAAGCCTGAGAATTACTCCAGATCGTGGGAAGAGCAGGCGAGCATAACTGCCAGCATTGTAATAGTCTGGCTATGGAGACAATAAAGAGCGAACTCGTGGAAGCAGAATGCCACTGTGAATGAGTTGTTTGTGAAATCAGAAGTCATCCAGCCGGGTTTTGTTTTTGTTTTTCCAGGGAAACTCTATGGAGATGTAGACTACTTGGAAGAGAGGCATCGCCATAGATTTGAGGTGAGAACTCGAGCTTGGTCTCTTCTGTTATTGGACAGTTAGTAATGGAGAGCCCAGCGCAATTTTTTTTTTTTTTCATGCTTTAACAGGTAAATCCAGTCTTGAAAAAGTGCCTGGAAGAGCAAGGCTTGAAATTCGTTGGCCAGGATGTTGAAGGCGAGAGGATGGAGATTGTGGAGTTGGAAGGTGATGACTTGGGTGGCTATGTTTAGTGGAAAACTTCATCAGGTTTTCTTTTCATGTGGGAAAATGTAATACTGTGTGTCTGGCTTCTGACCTGGTGGAATAAAGAAGCAGTGCTCTCTCTCCTATGAGGGAAAGGGTCCAGGTGATAAGAGGACTAGAGCCCTGGTAAAGTGATTACACTGTGTGGTACACAGTGTACAGTCTACAGGCAGCCACATGACTCAGTCTGTGTGAGTCACAGGAGCCAAGGACCAGGATGGAGGCCCTGGAGCACAGGCCATTTAGCCAGGAAGGAACAGCAGCGTGAGGGGAAGGGTGCCAGATTGCTCATGCTCTGGGGTTACCAATATTTAGATTCCAATGATGATGTCACTTTCAAATAATTTTAAGGCCATTTAATAGATTTCTTTTCTCCATCTTTTACATCGTACGTACAATTTACATAGTGAATCCTTTGAATTTCTCTTTCAGATCACCCTTTCTTTGTTGGGGTTCAGTACCACCCTGAGTTCCTCTCCAGGCCTATCAAGCCCTCTCCACCCTACCTTGGCCTCCTCCTGGCCTCCGTGGGGCAGCTTCCACATTACCTCCAGAAAGGCTGCAGGCTCTCACCCAGGTGGGGACATCGCTTCAGGAACCAACTCCTTGTCTTCTCTGCTCCTGTGGGGTTGCTGACTCTGTAGTGAGGTGTCACGCTGCCAGTCTTAGGGAAGAACCACAAGTGCTGGGGCTGGGTGTCCTGGGTGTCCTGGGTGGGGTGCCGCACATACCTCGCATTTGTATGGAAGTTCCCACTCTGTCCCTAGCATCGTTTTCTTTGGCTGCTCCCTCTCTTGTGTTTCTGAATGCTGGTGATACTGAGAAGAGACCCCTCTGGTCTGTTAAGGCGACTGGTTTTCCCCAGGAAGTGGGGACACCCCTGGGGGATTTTTGCCTCACTGCTACTTTCATCTGCACCCAGTTACTCAGAGTCGGTGGGTGGCATGTGAAGGCTGAAGTATAAATGGGTGTATATCTCTTGTAACTAGAGGAAGGGATTTCCTGTGTAGCCTCATACTAAATACAATATGTGGTAAAGAGTTGGATTTCTTTTCTTTGGTACCGGGGATTGAACTCGGGTCCTTGTGCTTGCAAGGCAGGCCACCGAACCGCTGAGCTAAATCCCTGGCCCAAGAGTTGGATTTCTTTTCTTTGGTACCGGGGATTGAACTCGGGTCCTTGTGCTTGCAAGGCAGGCCACCGAACCGCTGAGCTAAATCCCTGGCCCAAGAGTTGGATTTCTACTGTGTGGACACATGTTTCTGTGGTAGTGGTGGCTAAAAAGCAGAGAAGTGAGTTTTTGGTGGGAGATGACCAATCACCCTTCTGAATTCTACAGGGACACCTACAGTGACAGAAGTGGGAGCAGCTCCCCTGACTCTGAAATCACTGAACTGAAGTTTCCATCAGTAAATCACGACTGATCTGGTAATGTCAAGTGATTTTTTTTCCCCCCTCACTACTGGGAATTGAACCCAGGACCTCATGCTCATGCAGGCTAAGCAAGCACTCTACCTCTGAGCTACCTCACCAGCCCAAGTGATAGATTTAAGTTTTATTGTTGGTTTTAAAATGTTGATTACACATGGTTATAAGCATATCGTGAAAGTTGAGTGCTAAATTTGTTTATCTGCCAGAGAATGGAAATAGTAAGGTTAGTGTGGGCATGGGTGGTGCAGGTGTCTTGTGGCCCTTTGCTTCATGCAGGTGCCAGTCTGACCAGCTAGGTGGGCTGGGTGCTTAGACCCTGTTGTTTCATGAAACTGTGAAGGAAGGGACAGCATGACAGTATGGCCTCATGACGCCTCGAGTCTTCGTCAGGAAGTGCTCCAGAAAGATACTACGTGCAAATAGCTTGGTGTTGGTTGCTGCTTATTTCAGAAATCCTGCAAAAGCTGAATTTTTGAATAGACTTTGAATGTATTTGTAGAGGCAGGGTGTTTAAGTTTATAAAATGCAGTTCCAGGTACATTCAGTATTTCTGTTGAATGTAAAAGTCAGAAGTACAGCCTCAAGCCAGGGATTTGGCTCAGTGCTTCTGCCGCCTGCCTCGCAAGTGCAAGGACCTGAGTTTGATCCCCGGTACCAAAGAAAAGAAAGAAGTACAGCCTGTAATGCAAGCACTTGGGAGGCTCAGGCAGGATGATCGCTGCAAGTTTGAGGCCAGCCTGGGCTCCATAGTAAGTTCAAGGCCAGCCTAAACTGCGTAATGAGATCCTGTATCGAAAACAAACAAAGAAAAGAAAAGGTCAGAAGTACAGATTGTGCTGGTGAGGACAGTAGAGGGTGAAGAGTGTCGGCAGTCTGGGGTTTGAAGCAAGATCAGGGGATCTTAGTAGGTCCTGGGCTGGCCTGGTGCTGCGGGCAGGGTGCTTGTATCGGGTCAAGGCAGATGTTGCTGTGAGGTCTTGAAATATGCGATTCTGTAGGAATTACAATTTTAGCTTCTAATTATTCATCTTAGCCTGCTAGTACTAGTACTGTTCTGTCATGAAAAACAGGCATTGATCTCCATGACAACTGACTGAAAATTCTAACTTTTCTACTTAATATGCATCATGTAATTGCTTTTTTTTTTTAAACAGGAATGATTCACGAGAACCTTTGACTTTGACGGAGTTTACTGCTATGATTTTACACTTGGCTTTTGACACTTTTTTAAAAAATTGGTACATTTATATATATATATATGTATATGTATATATATGTATATGTGTATATATATATGTGTGTGTGTGTGTGTAT